TGTTTCATGCAAAACACCCATCCGTTGCCTGGCAGACCGGAACTCGATTGTCGCCCCGTCCAAACTTCGATTTGGACCCAAGACAGAACACACTCTGCAGAGTCCGGCCTGCGCATTGGATACCCGTGCGAATGTATGCTATTATGTCTCAGTATTCCAGTACTACACATCGATGCAACTGTCGAACACCAATAGGATTGTTCTCGACCGTGCTGGAGTCGTCGGCAATATCGTCGTAACACAGTGGGTTTCCCGCAACATCCTCACCTGGCGAAATCCCAAAGGGGTCCAGCATCTTTTGTGGCCCACCAGTCACCGCATCACCGCAAAATGGCGAAACAAACTTGCAAGTTCTGAGGTCGAACCGTCCTTGGGTCATGGTCCGGAGCGCAGAAGAGATCCTGGCAATCAAACGCCTATGCCAGTTCAACAAGACCCTTGAGGGCTGGTGGGGATGGCGAACGCGCGACGACGTGAGACATCTGGACTGAGGCTGGCGCTCCTGCAGCTGGCCTCCGCACCAAGGTCGGCGCGATTGCGTTGGCGAGTTAAGTAAGGTTTTCGATGTTGAGCTCCCCAGGAGCCGCTCGCTTTCCACATGGATGATGAGTCCAGTGGCGAGGGACAGAGTGGTGGTGCTGCGCTCGGAGAGTTGTCGACATGCCGTGCTTTTTACTCATGACGGCCACTGCTTCTGATTTGCCCAAGTGTTCAAATGGCTTCTTTGAGCAATTGATTGCTGATTGACTTGACTTCGCGATCTCGTACAGAATGCGTTGTCTTGACAGCTGCTAGCAAGCTCTTGCAAGCTTGAAGACATGCTTTAGGTCTGGTTCGAAAGTCGAGCATCACGGCCATGCGACGGACCTAGTTCCAGATTGCCGCAGACTGTAATGTGGTCTCCAGGTCTAGGCGCTTAATGTTCATTACAGCTTCCAGTATAAGACATTTGCCAGCAGAACATGCTTCCATTCTCATATTGATGGAGAGCTAAACAACTGCTTTGTGAGTCGAATGCCGCAGCTCTGTTAGAATTCCCCTCCCCTCCCCTCACCCCCCTTCCTGTGATAGTATACATTGTCCGGTTTTCGATCAAGACACTGGGCCGCCAGGTTCGAGAAGAAACTGACAAGTTTAACGCACAAACGTGGTGCAGCGCGAAACCAGGACTTCTCGGACCACAGTGGATCCCCGACTCGGACTCCCCTTTTCAGAGAACATGGCAAGTCACTTTTGTGGGATTCCGGTTCTCTTCCTCGACATGTTCGTGTCAAGACGGATACCGGGCAGCACATGCTTGCAGCCGCACTGCGTCTGAGAATCAGGCTCAGCTACTCGAAGAAAGTATTTCTTGATCCGGTTGGGAACATCGGTGGGGGGTTACGACAACCGGATCTTCTTTGCGCCGGCTCCGGCACTTGTTCCTCTTGGACCTTGCTTGGTCTTGGTAGAGTGCAGTTCGAGGTTTGAAGCAATGGGCAGCACCCAGCTGTATCGCATGGATACACTTGAAGACGACAAGGTTGGAACGCTAGATTTAATTGGCTGACCAGTGCATGCGGGATTCCAGTTCCTGGCTACATCCCAACGCATTGTGTGAGGGCAGATCATGATTTGTCAGCTGGACTTCTCAACACGCCTAAAGCTCTGGCACAGGCTCCGTCGAGGCCAGTGCTGCGAGTGTGGCTTTGTGCCATTGATGCAGATTGCAGGCTGCATGTTTCAACGTCGTCTTTCGAAGGCCATGCTCCAGCATCAAGCTAGCCACACCTGGCAGACAGCTCGGCACAAACACCATGTGATGTCGTGGGCCGCATCTTTTCGCTCCTCATGCAACATATTGCGAAAACGAAGGCCCTGACAGACTGGAGCTTGTCGGGGTCCATGTCTGGTGAAGCATGTTGTCTTTGGTTTTCGGTAAGGCATGTTCAAATCTGCATCCGCCGGTGTGACGCTCAGATTTCTAGGACCCAGGCACTGCAGAGGAACAATCTGCAGCTCAACCATTGCTGCATTTTGACGCTCTTCTTGGTCAATTGTCGTGCACGATTGTGTCTACTGTCAGGCTCTGTCTCGGCCATGGCTTTGGACATGGGCCTTCCAGCCACACCGCTTTCAATGGATGTGAGCTCCAAGAAGGCATGGCTGCGCATCTGTGCAGTGCTATGCAGGGCTTGACGTTGCATCTGGCATGAGCACCACCAGGAACGCCTTGGAACGCCTGGAATGGGTTCTCGTTGCTCGTCAGCCCGGCCCTCAGTTCCTGATCGTGATTTCGGGCCTCAGGATATTGCATCTTGTGCTGGTCTGAGGTGGGCGCTCTGCGCTCTCTGAGGGCAAGCAAGTCTGTTAAGCAGGCTCGTGTGCCTGTTTTGCGGTCCTACTCTTGATGTTCACTTGGAAGTTCGGGGGCACTCGTTTCAGCTTTCCGTCTTGTTGTATCTGACTGATGTCTGCAGAGTCACCAAGGGCGGCATGCTTCCTTTCCTGAACAAGCCCAACTCCGCGATTGACTGGTCTGTCAGCCATGTTCAATCCGTGATGTGCGCGACTGAGAGCTGCCTGGAGTAGCTGCGTGTAGCTGCCAACTGCGTAGCCGAGCTTTGCACCAAGAAGCAACCACCCACTCACTGCCCGTGTGACACAAGTCGCTATGCGCTAGATGGACACCAAGCAATAGAAAAAATGGAGTCTGTTTGCTCTGGAAACACGACCCCAACACAAAAAAGCAAGGGTGTGTTTTCGCTGCATGCTTTGACCATTGTATAGCACATGTCGGCAGATTCGGCAGAAGAAGCAAGACAAGAGTGGTCAACAGTTGTAGTCGGGATCACATGAAATGCAGGCAGTATCAGGTAAAGTCTCGTGCGTCGCGCCTCCGCGTCCCACGTCCCGCGCCCCGCGTCCCGCATCCAGCTCCTGTGCCGCATATAAGAAGCCATGAGGACATGCTTCGTTCGCACTTATAAGACATCTGAAGATAGACCTTGGTCTATAGTAGAACGGACCGCAGCAACTATACCCTTTCTTCACACGCCATCCTCCACCCTTCTCCCCATGTTTGTTTTTAGTTCAAGCGGGTGGCAGAAGGTTCGCTTGATCTTTACAGCCATTCCAGACCGGACGGTCCGACCGGACGACCCGAACCTCGGCGCGGGTTGACCGTGGCGGAACCGCACTGACCGGGTGGACCAGTTTCATGTTCATCTCAATTCTGCAGCATGTGCTCGTCCAGCAACCTTAGGTCGTGCATTCGTGCGGCTCTCGCAGCCTGCAGTGTCGGGGTCGGCCCGCGTCCCACGCAGTTCGCGTCCTGCGTCCCGTGCGCCCCGTCCGCCGCCTCTGCAACAACGGCTAGGCAGGTCTGGGCTATGAGGATCACACTCCTGCAGGAGATTTGCATGCTACGCTTGTTCGGATGTGAATTTGTTTGTTTTCGCAGCCGCAGCGATCGCCGATCGCCTCGGTTCGTAAAGGATCTTTTTGCTGTGATCAGGTCAGGCTGAGGCTGGGGATTTAGCTCTCTTTCGAAGCTGTGTCCGTTTTGGGTCAATATCAAGTTTGGTGGCCGCTGGCAGCAGGGCGGTCCGGACGGAGGTCTGGGTTAGCTACTCCGCAGAGGTGTTTTCCACTGGCGTCATCATGCGGATTGGGCTCGACTTTGCCGCTCGGGCTTGTCCCTCTCGGGACAGGGAGTGGCTCTGTTGGTGGTCGGTCCACGCAACGGGTTGCTCGATCGGGCGGTTCGGCTTTAAAGAATGTTCGTAGACTTCGTCGTTCGGGGCTTTTGCCGATCAGGTTTGTTTGTTCGCCGGGAAGGTCGGAGAGCTGTCGCTCGCCGGCATGCTGGAGCGGTCAACAATTAGTTCGACTGCTGCGGCTGCTGGTCGGTGAGTTTGGGACATTGCGAACTTTCGTGCGAAGGGCGTGACTCTAATAACCTGGTAGGTGTGCGTTTTAGGCTATAAAGGTCAAACTGCTGCATGAGATCTGAATGCGACTTCTGTTCGGTCGTGTTTTATTTCCGGCCGTGGCCATGTTTGATCGCCGATCGCCTCGGTTTGGGGAGGATGTTTTTGTCCCGTCCAATCGACTGAGCCTGCAGTGCTGAAAGAACATTTCCAGGACCTGTGGAACATGTTCCAGACAAAGACGAGGGCGAGTGGATCCAGGTTCAAAGAATGAGGTTTCGGTAGATTTCCAATTTTGGTTTGGAAGGGTTCGCACTCAAGACATCATGCTGGCACGAAAAGTCTTTTTGCTGTCAATGTAAATATACCGGACCAAAGCTGCAAAAGGCAGCACCCGGCGCTAGGACTTAGGATCGTGCAAACCCATTCGTGTTGTTTCATACGACGAAAGGAGAGGCCGGGGCGAAGGTTGAACATCCATGCCTTTCATCATGTGAATCCATATCAGAGTCAAGCGGGCGCACATCATGCTACCACCCAGATTCGTTGCCACGAATTGCCACGAAGCCGAGCATAGCCGAGGCGAGCTCAATAGAATTCGGTAAGCGCATGTAAATCCATAGTGCTGACATGCGGTTTCACATCAAAGCCAACTCAAGCCCAAAAATTGTTTAGTTTAGTTCTTTGTTTTCGAATATCTCCAAAGCCATACTACCGAAGACATTTCCTGCTGGAAGCAAGATGGACGCTCGGTACATGGATTTGTGGTGTGGAGTGCCAGTTCAAGGTGAAGGGAATTGCATTAGACATGATACACTCCACGTGCACACGTGGTGAGAGCTGGTCCCCGTGGTGTGGATTCTGGATTGGGCCTGCTTGCGGGCGGCTAGCGGCTAGCTTCACTTATGCGAGTGCGAAGTCGGTGTTAGTCAATGATTATGTAAATGTTCATACGCTTCAAGGTCAATGAAGACTCATGAGTGGAGCACTATGGCTCCCGCGCCAGTGCTTTAGCCACCTGGCTGCAGAGAGCCCATCCCGCGGCTTGCCGCACGCATCTAGGAGACGTGTTGGGATCACGCTTCTGAGGATGGAAATTTCCCATGCATCTCCACGCCATTGCCACATCCATTTTCCAGGTCGAAGCCTCAAGCTGGGTTGAGGCTTCGCAGAGTTTCACAGCCCATCATGATATGCTCCTGTGTTTGACTGTCTTCAAATCGCGGTACGTGTGGACTTCAGAGTCTACTGTCCCAACACCTGTCAGTGAGTCCGGTGCCTGAGAAATGTGTTGCTTGGTTGAAGCATCCAGGCTGGATGTTGCATCATGCTTCACTGTTCGTTCTCAGGTTGGAAGCCTTGCCTGCAGAGTTCAGGTGTGGCCCTGTGGCAGGGGGCATATTTTGGAGCTGGAAACTTAAAAATGGCAACGCATGAATTTGAAAAGCACTGCCGCAACCACACAGCAGCCTGCTGCGAAGGTCTTGTGGCCTGAGGCCCAAGTTCCACGTATCACAGAGGCCGAAGCTTCAGTGCTCTTGTCGAGCATCGTGGCGGCTCTGGCCGCCTCTGGCCTCGCAGGCACAGCCCCGATCCGCGCGCTGGGAACTCAGCCTCCTAGGCATCGCACGGGCCATCATGGGCCACCCGCAGAGAGAGCCAAGGAGCGGAGGTGACTCTGCGCTTTTGCTGCGCTTTTCGCTGCGAAACCTGTGGACTCAGAGGGGTCCACATTTCACAGAGGGACGGAAAGAGCATGGCGAACCAAGTGCGCTTTGATTGCTCATTCCCATTGTCTAAAGGCTCTTGTACTTTAAAGAAGGTTTCTGCCTGAGCCTTGGACACCGTCGCGTGTTGTCCGAAATTTGTAGACTGCAGCTTGGTGTAGCGCAAATCACCAACTCGTGCTGTAGTGGCTCTAGCGTCATAGCGCCTATCATGCCTATCAGGTCAAAATTGTCAAGAAACATAGCAACCGCGATCGGAGACGTTTGCCTTTCGCAAGTCTCCCCCGACGTCTCGAGTCTTTACGTTCGTGAACAGGTTGTTCCAGTGCGGCAACTGCCGGGCTTCCTGTGCACAGCAGCTTTTCAGCTGCTCTGTCGCATAACTTTTTGGGATTCGGGATTCTGCCTCAGACGCAACAGACCTTGCACATGTCAGCGTCGGCACTGCAAAAGACAATTGCAAGTTCGAGCTCCTAGAGGCTTGGAGCCTGCATCCGCATTCATCGTTGGGGAGTGCCACGCCAAGCCTTTCGGCTCAAAGTGGGCCCGCACATGAACATGAGCACAATATATACTACGACTATAACCTTTCCATTGTACATATATGTAAGCACATGCATACCGGCCCAAACACCTGCATACATGCATATTCACATCTACCACTGAGGTATGGCCGGAGCATGCAGGACCTGCATCTTGATGCCACCATGACCCACCCGTCTACGTATACGTCTGTACAATAGCACACCGAGATACCTCCTCACTTGCCTACTCACCGGGCGCTTGCCAACTAACGTACATTAGTATAGCGATCGATCCTAGATGTGTTTATGTGATCTTCACGATTTGTGTTCGTGCTGTTGTTGGACGATGTGGCGGAGTAGGGCCGATGCTCGAATCAAACAGCGTCACGTCTTTCCTCCTTGACATGTACACATTCCTGAAAATCCTACATATCTGAGCTTTTGTAATTTGTATGACTTCATGCCCTCTCTATCCAAAGTCCGCATTGTTGCCAGAAGCTTTTTGGGCAGCGGTTTCCAGCACTCTCCGGACTCCACCGCAAAACCCATAAAGGATCAACAGCGTGTCCCGAAAGCTCTATGTTGAACTAGGCCCTAGCCCTAGGTAGGACCCGGCGCTTGCAGCAAAGTCAGGTGTTACATGCACGGACAGACAAACAGACAGCCAGGCAGGCCAGCAGGCAGACAAACAGACATGTGCGCTCGCAAGGCTCCACAGTATCACCAAGCAGAATGTTGCAGTCAACTGGGATCTGAGTAAGGGTCCAGCCATGGATTGTTGTTTTTGGCAATGACCTTCTTCGCCCAGCGCACAGCGCCGCGGAACAAATGCCAGGCCAGAAACCGCTGTGTGTTGGCCACAAGCCTTTATGTCAACATGTTTCAATCACTGCTTGAGTTGCAACACATATTTGTTGAAACTTGGTTTCTGGTGCAATCGAGGCCCCACAACCTCCAGAAGAGCTCGGGCCAGTTGGGACGACACCTTCCTCAGAGTTTCTGGAGCCCGAACAGCTGGAAGCTTCAGATGCTCTGGTGGTGACAGGAAGGCATCGGGCTCAGCCGTGTCAAGCACCACCTTGCATGCACACACTCACACATCTCATCATGTCTCCTAATTATCAGTCTGATAGGTGAGGGATCAGGAGGTCGGTTTCCACGATCGTAAGACCACCCGTGATCACTGTTCCATTTGGCTCAAGCCGATCGGCCCGGATTTTCGATGGTCCGCGCGGGTGTGGAAGATTTAATCATCTGAAGTTGCAGCAATGTCAATGTCGTTCCCCACAGCAGGCCCGCATCATGGCCAGGGATCCCAGCAGCAGGCTCCCCAGTTCGGACTGCCCAAGAGACTGCAGCCCGCAGCAGATGCCGTTTAGTGGGGGCTCTACACACACCGGGCAAGCTCAGGCCCTGCAAAAGCCGGCGTTTGTTTTTTCGCAGGCGCTGGTGACTGGGGAAGTGGTCGGGGCCGTGACGATCGTCGCCGTCAGAGCGGTGATAGGTCAGGTTCCGCCGCCCACAACCCGCTCGCGGTGCAAAAGCCCAAGTTCAATTCCTTGTTGCTGGTCGACAACAGGGATGAGCGGCTGATCAGCCCGTTCCAGAACTGACTCGTGGACGAGATCATGTTCAATGCCGCAAGCTCCATTAATGTGCTCACGGAGCGAGATCAAGTGACGCTGCCGAACTCCTTCCCACTCGACATTGTCCCTTTGATGCGTGTGGACAGGGTGAAAGACATGCCGTTCGCGAGCTGGGCGTAACAACCTCTTCGTCGATCGCCAATTTCCCGGTTCTGCTCAGCAAGATGTATGATCAAGGGGTCTCACTGAGCAGGACGATGCGGCCGAGCTGCGGCAGCGATCACCCCGAAGTGCTCACCGAAGTTCTGGATGCTCGGGAGGTTCAGGAGTTCGAGCGGATCAGCACCGTGTGGAGGAGACGGGGCCGGAGATCGTGGCAGCCAGCAGCTCCACTCCAACTTCGGTTCCGAAGTCATTCGCCCCTGAGCATCCCCCCAGCTCGAAGCCCTGTTGACAGTGAGTGACGCTCTTCACGGCGGCTCGGAGTTTTGTGCGATGACGCTTGAAGATCTGGGCTGATTCCCGCTTAGCTTTGGGCGGCGATCTTCCACTCACCACAGAGCTGTTCGCCAACCCAAAGCCCGATCAGTAGCTACCGATCGATGCCATGCTTTTCGCGAGCGTGAACGATCAGCGGGACCCACCTCGAGATCTCCTCGGCGGTCTGCTTCGCCGTGGGCGTGTGGAGATCCTCCAAGGCAGGCAGAAGACCAAGAGCCGGTGAACGTAGAGTGAACCGTCAGACACAGAAGAGAGCTTCTCGAGTAGATCTACCAGCCATTGCAAAACTCATCACTGAACAGTGGCAAGGAAAGGATCCTCGCGACTGACTTGTCCATCACTAAGCCTGCACAGCTGCACCTTAGCACGTGCCTGCACTGGAATCCTCGTGAGCCGAGGCAGTATGTATGACCGAGCTAAGGTCTACAGACATATATGCAGAACTGCGCTGGGATCTAGCACACCCAGGGGATCGCTCGGCTCTCGTTTGTTCTGCATTCGGAAGAAGCACGGCTGATCCGCCGGCTGGCACGGTCATGCCGCCAGCTCGTGCCGGTTCCTCTCGCTGAGGAGCCGAGGGCAATCAGTACTTGCCAAGGACCTCTAAGGAGAGGCGCAGTTCTTCCTCAAGGCTCAGGAAGCAGGCGAGGCTCGCAAGTCAAGGCCATAGTCGACCGCTGTGGCAATCATGCTGCGATCGCCGGTGACCCTAATGTGTCGCTCAGACAGAGTGGCACGAACTCAGACGGGATCCATCGCTCGTTCCTTTTTGCACACACGACTTGAGCCAGCCGTCAATGGATGTCACTTCTCTTCTATCGACTGCACATGACATGTTTCAGAGAAGAGATGAGAGAAAGATTAAATGAAAGAGAGACGGCATCACTCTTGACTGCCCATGTTGTTGGAAATCAACCATCGAAATCACACCGGTCCAAACCTCTGTTTCCAACAACAAGGAAAAGCAGCTGATGGCATTCCTTCCGCTCGCGCGCCTTGCGCTGTATTGCCGTGCCTTCTTCAACTATTGACCAAGACCCTGTCTTCAAGTCATGTCGAAGGTGGTGGCCAGGGTGATTCTTAGTGAATGGGTCTGCGATCATAGCTCTCGTATCGATCCACCGCCGGATCGTGCCGGCGGTCTGCTGTGCATCATTCTTTCCTGCTGCAAGATCGATAGCAGCACGCTTGTCGCTGATGTGTGCGGTCGTTGATGACAACTTGTTGGCAGCATCGTGCAGGCGTTTCGAGTCAACTGCCGCCAGGAAGGGGAGCTTTTGAGCCTCTCGGCGCCAGTCTTCTGCAGACATCATGCCGTGAAAGGCTTCCAAGAAAAGCAACCTATGCCAGTGCACGGCTCCAATTCCAGACTGAAGGGCTTGGCCTTCTGCAGCCAAGGTGTCAACAACCTTGCGCTTCAGCTCAAAACTTTTCCATGCTGCCACCGTCGTTGATGCTGGTGCACTGCCTTGGGCCAAAGCTTTCCAGCGATCTCATGAAGATCGGATCCTCCAGGAGCAGCTCCAGGATGGAATGCCGTTCTTCGTGGGGCCACATGGTGGCGAATCCGAGATGTTTCTCGTTCTTCCCACCAATCGTCCGCATTGTCTTCGATCCAAGTGCAATCTTTTGCATTACCCCAAGCAGCGTCGGTCACAACCGAAACTCGAAGTCGATGCCAAGGGGTTGGCATCACACGAATGCCGGTCGCAGCGTGGCGATGAGCCTCTTGTTTCCTTCCAAAGTGTCCGCTATCCGTGGTTCTGGAAAGCTTGCTGAAGAAGAACCACACGACCCGACAAATCGCATCGGGTCTCCCTCGCCAGCCACGCCAAAGCGCCAAGCTGGCTTCTAAGCTGCTCCACTTCTGAAGGACTGCACCGAGAGTCGAGCTCGGGCTAATTTAATAACCTTAATCTTATCGGCAACATAAAAAGCTTGATCAGTCATGATGGAACCGTCATCCTGCAGCTTGATGTCCTTCCCAGCTTCCATGCCCTGACTGGTTCTTGCCGGTGGCAACACCGATTATCCCTTCTAAGGAACCCTCGCCTGGCTTGGCCCCATGAAGGAGCAAAACACACGGATCTGCTAAGCTGCGAACACATCCGAAGTCTTCAACCAGTCTTCGAGCTAGGTGTCGGTACCAAGCCAGTGGTCCGTCGGTCAGACCGCAGCAGGTTTTCAGGAGTTTCAGGAGCTGGCGGGGATGAGCTCCTGGAATCCCTTCTCTTGGTTGAAAGCAGTAGAGTTCTCGTTCGATGGCATCTCCTGAATGAAAGGCCTGCGTGAAACCGAGGAATCCTGGGGTCCACCGCATAGAAGCCAAAACCTGTGCCACAAATACAACAGAATCTCGACTGACCTGCGGAGTGGTGCTCTCAACCTCGGTCGCGGCCTCGTCCTCTAAAAGAGTGTCCTCTGCTCGGGCTGCTGGAACGTCGCGGTGTGATTATTGTTAATCTCCTTCTGGGTAGCCCGTTGTAGTCTGGCCGCATCGGGTCCGACGAAGTCTTTGGCTGTAGCCTCCCTCCGTTGCCATTGACGCACCGGAGCCGGTAGCTGAAGACTGTAGGCCTCAAGGAGTTCCACTCTGTTGCGTTTGCCGGGTGGCTCCGGAGCTTCTTCAAGTTCACGCCTGAGTTCAGGATCACCAGGTGCTCGATTAGCTTGCTCTGGCTCGTGAACAAGTTCACCGGCTGGTACGCCTGCGTCGCTCTCTCGGGCGCCACCTTGACCACAGTGTTCTGGAAGGAAAACCAGAGGCAGCCCGGGAGATCGGTCATCATCATTCGGGCCGGTCTTTTTCAATAAGAAGTCCGGGTTTTCTTTGTAGATCCGGCTCCTCGTCTCCAGAAGAAAACTGCCTGGCCGACTTCATAGTTCCGATGCGGGCGAGGTCCTGCGTGTATGGATGCTCTCAGAGCTTGGTCACAGTCGGCAGCGTGAAAGGCCATCGCCGCCGCCCTTCTCATCTTCATAACCATTTCGGCCTGAGCGTCACCGATGATGACCAGGTCCGAGACCATATGGTCTGTCTCGCCTCCGCTCAGCAGCCGCCCTCCTGGGAGTCTCGGGCTGTAACCAATCACCCGCTGAATAGGTGAGTATCCTCCGCGAAGAAGTAGCCGGTTCCTCATCATGCACGATACGTCCACCAAATCCCTCCATTCTTCCTCGGTCTGGCAATCATAGTCGAGCATGGCCTTGTGCAGGATGTTCTTGAAGACTCCTCCGGCCCTCTCGGTGAGGCCTTGCTAGAAGGGTGCCTCCAAAGCTGAAGGAACCACCTCGGTGCCATCTCGCTCGGCTTGCTTTCGGAAAGCCGCCTGGTGCTCCGTGCCCAAGTTCACCATCCATCGCCAGGAGGTCCGAAGAATCTTGCCCACTGTCTGTACGCTTTCCTGACCTCTTCGGCCGTCTCGGCCGGGAGGGGAACAACCAACTGAACGTGGGTGTTCCAATCCACCACGTTGATCGCCGGGATCGCCTTGGTGTTGAAGTCCCTCAGGTGAACCGGCTTGTGGGGCGGCTCGTCGCGCGGCGTCAGGTAGACGGTAGGATGCGCGCACAGAGCATTTCAGATCCTTGGCGATCTGAATGGCTTTGACGTAAAATTCTCACCAGCCTGTTGTTGTCCGGGTGACCTAGGCCTTCATGAGCACGACAAACCAGCTTTTCCAAGGTGATCTCCTTCATCCCGGGAAAATTTCTCATCCTCCGAACAGAACCTTTGCTCGCCTTGGCCTGGAAGAGCGCCACCACCTGAGATTGCAGGGAAGGCGTCGCTGCTGATCCCGCAGGTCCTGCCACCGTGTCTGATCCTCATTTAGTATCCACGATCCGGGTTCCTTCCGGATCCAAGAGCTCCTCCACGGTAGTGACGATGCTGGATGGTTCGGCTCTGGTATAGCCACATTCCCACTGTCCTTGGCCACGTGCAACCGGTTGTGATTGTCAAG